TAATGAGTACCTTCCCCAACAGGGAATCATGACCAGGCTCTAGGAACTTGCAAGTCATAAGCTAAGTACATTTAAGGAGAGGACGTCCATTTTCATAACATCCCTTGAATGGCGTTTGTGTAGGTTGAAATAAGAGAGAAATTTTATTTTTTAATAACATCTGGAACTATTAAAGTCTGTAGAAAATTAATCAACGAATTCCACAATGCCAGCTAGCTTCATAATATCTGTTTGTATAATCAAGTACTCTAACAACAAAAGGACACCATCTCTACATTACAAAACAAAAGCTAATTAAAAATATCAGGCCCAAGAAGGCAATTTTATCTATTTTCTAGTCATACAAACACTACACATTACTCTCCAATCACAAACTGATAACCTCATCAACTGTATACTGTAAATTTACCTGGATGTGCATAAACCATGTATCACTTACTTCCGTTTTTTTGCTTTGATAGGCTCATCTTCATTCATTTCTTCCATTAAGTCTTGTTCTTCTTTAACTGCAACATAAAAATTAGTTAAGACTGAATAAACATAAGCAGGCAACTACTGAATTTTCAGCCACTGGTTCTTCTGCCAATGACCATCAGAACATGCACTTTAATGCATGAAAAAGCTGCCATTTACACTCATTTCACTCACTTGCACTCATTGAGAACTGCCACTTTTGGATGGACAGCATTGTTGGAGCCGGGTGTCCTAGCAAAGAAATTACAAACACTGTTACCAACAATTGTATGCACACATTCACAAGCTTCAAGAAAAAAAAGCACCCTTTTTATCAAACACTAAGCCAAGTTATGAAAATTCTACACTTTTATTTACCTCTCTTCACAGTGAAGAATTCATTTACTTTAATGTTTCCTGCCTGGCCCTTAACTTTAAAATGTTGATTCAACTTAAAAATGAACTTTACAAATAAATAAAAATCCCAATTTATAATTCATAGAACCTTTTGTAGATGCATACTACCCAATAAAGCTGATTCAAACATAAAGAAAATATTCTGAAAAAAACCCACAAAAAGCAAATTGCATATTTTCTTGGCATCATTCACTACTATGATTGTAAATATCACCATCATGTCTTTAAATTAATATTGCTACAGCTGAAGAGAAAATAGTACTGGAACACCATATAGGCAGTTACACTGATCTGCAAAGCACTTCAGAGCACAAATGCCAAATATATATATAGTCCATGTAATGTTCTTGACCACTTTAAAGACCTTATCATGGATTTGTTACATTAGAAGTATTAAATGATTTACTATGTTTCTATGTTATTTATGAATATGAGTTCCATAAAAACAAACTGAAGAAACAAAACATTCTGAATAAACATAAGGACGATTTTCCATTAAGAAATATATAACAAGCCAGGCAGTGGTGGTGCACGTCTTTAATCCCAGAACTTAGGAGGCAGAGGTAGGAGAGCCAGCCTGGTCTACAGAACAAAACCACAACAGCCAGGGTTACATAGAGAGACAAAATGTTATACATAAATGTTTGTACCCAATATTCTGAAATACTATCAGAACAGGAAGTAGATTTTAAAAACTCTAATAAGAGATAAGAATTTCAATATTCGGAAAAGAAGCTATCATTTAGTTTAAATGATTTTTGAGGGGATAACAGGATCTTAGTATGTGTGTAGCCTTGGCTGTGGACCAGACAGGCCTGGGTCTCATAGACCCACCTACCTCTGACTCCCACATTCTGGGATTAAAGGTGTATGCCACCAAATCCCACAAGATAAATTTTTTATATTTTTATAAAATTTTAATAAAAATATTCTGCATAGTTTGATTACTACAAAAATATCACTAGTAACTTAAAGAGGTGAAGGCTAAGTAGTGTCTCAGTGGCATTAATAAACACTAAGTCAACAGCAACAGTCCCAACATCTCAAACTAACTGAAAACCTTAGTAACAAAGTTAACTGTTTTACAGACAGGCGGTTCTCTGTGAGGTCGAGGCCAGCCTGATCTACCGAGGGAGTTCCAGGACAGCCTCCAAAACAATACAGAGAATCCCTGTCTTGAAAAAAAACGAAAACAAAACAACAACAACAAAAAAAAAATTGACTGTTTTGCAAAATAGAACCTTATCTAAATTCTTTACATTTTTCACATTTCTTATTGTATCAAACCAGAATAGCAGTCTATTATTAAAAATTAAATATTCTAAATGACCTTTAGAGTAGAAAAGGGTTAAATTCAGAGGATGAATCCCTAATTTAACACTTACTTAGCTTCTTCATATCTTCCAATCCTTTTTTATGAGGGGGCTCTTGAATAATTTTGTCAACGTCTGCCCTTCCAATCAAATCATCAGGTCGGTCCCACATAGAAAGACGAGTGGTGGGGTTGTAAAAGAAAACCCGCTCATCACCAGTCCAAACAACACACCTAAAGATTAAGATAAAATACCATTTGCCTGTGTTACAATATGCACTTTGACGGTATGCCTTTTAATATTAACTCTAGTCGGCAGGCAAAAGGTCAGGCAAGTAGTAAGAAAAGGAAAGGTCCTAAGTAATAATGGTTTTCATATGGCTTTCAGAACAAGAGAGCTGAGTATAGCTACAGAAACGCAAATCAATTTGTGGTCAGAGTTTAAAATGCTTAGGAACTGAATTCAGCACACCAAATACAACAAAACTAAACTGTAAACTATTTAGAAGTTCAAAGGCAACAAAAACACTATAAAAATCCTATAGCTTAAAAAGCAAACCATAGTACCCAATAATTCTTAGTATTTCTTAATAAACCAAAATTACATATCAAATACAAACATTGTCTAATTAGACTACACTAAAACCGCATAAACCATGACAGGCCATTCATCCTGCTTTTACAATTAGAAAACTCAAGCAATAACAAAACACAAGTGTATGAAAGGATTTATAAGTTTAATAATAACAGCTAGGCTTCATGAGATAAAGAAAAACATCTGAAATTAATGAAATGATAGCAATTTTCAGAATAGAAATAGAAATCATTTAAACGATAAACAGGAAATTTATTAACTGATACTGGGGTTGGAGAGATGGCTCAGCAATTAACTGCTCCTCCAGAGGTACCTGGTTCAATTACCAGCAACATATGGCAGTTCACATTGCAACTCCTTTTTCAGTGGATTCATTACCCTCGTCTGGCCTCTCTCAGTAAGTACTACACATCCACAGTGCAGACATATATGAAGGCAAAACATCCATACACATACAATACTTCCAAAGGCTCATATAATGGACAGACAAAAATCTCAATTTGCTGTATGAGGTGTCAACTCAGTAAGACCCATACAAAAATAACCTCAAGAGAACTTGGCCTAGACACAAAAGGGATCTTTAAGGTTCTGGAAAAAGAATTAATTACCAACCAGAACTTCACATCCTGCAGAAACAAAAGAGGCAAGTGTTTTCAGAAGAGAGGCTAAGAGGTTCCAAGCCAAAAGACCAGTCTGACAAAAGTGTTCTTCATGCTGAGAACTCAACAAAACCTGCCTCTTTAGCAATGTAGGAAATGTCAGAAATGGTCAATATAGAAAATCATTTTCTTCCTAAGTTCTTTGAAATTCTACCTGCCTGTTGGCATTTTAATGCACACAACAGTTATGTGTACGATAACTAAGACGCAAGTCAGGGTGTACAGATTTAGAGGGACCTATGTACCCAGCAGTAGGGCTTTTACGTACAAAGTACATTCACTTTAAACAGAGTGTGGAGGTGTTAGATAGAAGTACTATAATTCCTGAAGTAACAACTGATAACAAAGGAGATATCCTCAAAAAGCCAATAAATTAAAATTTAGAATACTAAAGAAAAAAGAAATTAAGAGAATAGAGGAACAAAACATTAGAAAAGACAAACAGTAAACAATTATATCCCAGACTCAACACTATTAAAACTGATACTAAATGTTAAGTTTCAACATTTCAATAAAATGACTGACAGAGTAGATAAAAATATGACATTCTAAGCTGTTTGTATAAAACCATAGTAAATTCTAGCACAGGGACAGGCAATTCCTAGTACAATTCCAGGATGACCAGGGTTACACAGACAAACAGTCTCAAAAAAACAAAAAAGAATAAAAAGAAATACAGAAAAACACAGCTGGGTGTAGTGGCTTCAGCAGCACTCAGGCTGTTGTCTCAAAGCCTGGAACAAATGGCTGGGGGGCCTATTTAAAGTATCAATGCAGACCTGCCACCAGGTTCTCTCTGCACCCCTCAGTCCCCCAGGTGCAGGGTATCTTTCTGGGTTGAGTAGTCAGCTGGAGAAACGCTGATCTCATCGGAAGGCAACACTGACTATTTATGAGTGTCAGATGTTCCTGTCTGTAAAATATGTTTGATAGATAAATAAAAGTTTCAAACAGCACTATGGCAGCAAACTAGAGCCCCCTACAGTTTAAGCCAACAGAACCAGAAGAGTGGACCAGACAACCACGTGGAACCAGAAACAGGTATGGGATCAGGTAGAACTGAAAGATATACCAAATTTAAAAGAAATGCTACAATTGACTGGTGCAACACAAATAAATTAATTAATAAAAGCCATTTGAAGGATCAAAGTGCCCAAAAAAAAACCCTCAGACAGCTCATGAAGCTTCAGAATAAGACTTTCTAAGCTAATATTCTTGATAGAATTAAGATGGTCTTTAATGTTCCTTAGCAACAGAGAGGACAGAAAGGTGATATGTATGTACCGAATGACCCAAAGGGCTGAAACTGACTGGGAATAGGATAAATGGTTGTTGGTGGCTTGTGGTGACAATCCACTTAAGGCAGTGGTTCTCAACCTCCCTTATGCTTTGAACCTTTAATTCCTCATGTTGTAAGTGTCCTCCAACCACAAAATCATTTTCACTGCTACTTCATAACTGTAATTTTGCTACTGTTATGAATAGTAATGTAATGTTTTCTGATGGTCTTAGGCAACTCCCGTGAAAGAGTCATTCAACCCCCAAACGGGTTTGCAACTCCCATGTTGAGAACCTCCAACGTAAGGGATGCATTAGACTGCTGATGTGGGAGATGCAAATGGTAGCCTGGGCAGACTGATGGTGGTGGGGAGACCACAGGCCCAGAATGCTTAAACCCATTACCCACCGCCTTCCTTATAGATCTGTCCTGCTCAAGACATCATACTGGGAAGTCCTCATAAGCCCCTCCCCATTCTCAAGCCATACTCCCCTTTAAAAAAAAGTCACTACATAACTTGGATGGCTAATTGGGCACAGAAAAGAGGGACCCGGACAAAGTTGGGAAGGACTCTTGTGATAGTACAAAGCTTCAAGAACAAACAAGTCACTCTAGTATGTATAGTAATTATGGGTTAAATAAGTGAGAATAGGAGAAAGAAGAGACAATAATGTGGCAGAATTAGAAAGAGAAACACCAAGCCCAAGGAGAAAAGAGTAGGGAGATTACTCCATAATTGGATAAAGGCATAACTTTACAGAATTCTTTAATAATCACATGGTAGGAACCTATGTATACATAAATAATAAAAAGCAGGTTCAAGATTTCACAGTGGTCCAAATACACAACTATAAGCAGTATCAGGACAGGACCAAGAAGGGAAGAAGACATTTGTTTGGTAATTACAGAAAACACTTGCAGCAGCAATTAAATTTTAGGTCTGCACACCCCAATTACAACAAACAAGAATCAAAATATTGAACAGTATTAGAAACACATATCTAACCTATAGTTTTACAATTTTTTTCTTCCTACAGAAGCCATTTAATCAAGTATAATAAAAAAATAAATAAAATGCATCAGTTAAATACATACCATGGAGTACCAGGAATAGGAGTAGTAGCTACTGGCTTTGCCTTCTGGGCAGCCTTTTCTTCTTCAGTCATCTCTTCTTCTTTGGGCTCCTAAGGGAATAGTATATATAATAAATAATACAGACAAAAGAAAAGTAAACTATCATTACAAATAAATACCTCAAATGCAAACTCACCCAAGTCTATTGTAAGAACTGCAAGGGGAGATTCTGAGTAGGAATTTCTAAGAAGTGCTACATCTCTGCCCTACATGAAGAGCAAACTTGCACATCAGTGAAAGCAAGCCACAGCACCTGGCCCCATATCACAGACATGCTAGCCATGTACTCACAGCAGAAATAACTAGAGTAGAAAGAATTAGGATACCTCTTCCTTTAAAATAGTTTCTTCTACAAAATTGTGTAGTACTAAAACATGGCTATTGACATCCTAGAGAATTAAAGAAGCTTCCCAAACCAAAACTCAGTGTTCCTTTAAAGGGACCATTTCACACCAAACAGACAGTAAAGATGGATATGAATACACTCAGCATTCCCCAAACAGTTAAGCTGTACTTCTGACTTTAAGATGAGCCAGTCTGTAAGTCAAGATGCTGGAAATTGGGTTGAGCCTCTGGCTCAAGACCTTTCCTTTCAATGGACCTCAGTTAAGTATAAAAAAGGGGCTGGAGAGATAGCTCAGCTGTTAAGAATGTGTAATGCTCTTCCCAAGGAACTGAGTTCAGTTCCCCGATCAAGCAATTCATAACTGCCTGTTACTACAGCTCCAGGGATCTGGTACCCTTTCTGGCCTCCAAAGGTACCCACATATATATGCAATGAAAACACACACACACTCACTCTCTCTCTCTCTCTCTCTCTCTCTCTCTCTCTCTCTCTCTCTCTCTCTCTCTCTCTCTCTCTCTCTCTCTCTCTCTCAAATAAAATCTTAAAAACAAAAATTACACTAAAAATTAATGAAACTTTCAAAGGAAAAAGTATTAGAATCTCAAAACTTCAGAGGCCAATTTTACAACTACTTTAATACACATCAAATACACGCTGTTCCGTGTAGACACTACCAAGCGACTCAGGTTGGCCCCCAACTCAGCACGCCTTGGCCTTTACCTCCTTTATCTCCTTCAGAGGTTCTTCCTTAGGATCTTCCTCCTCCGTCTCCATTGGCAGTGGTTCTTCAGACGCCTCCTTAATTGGCTCTTTAATCTTCTCATCTAATTTTTCTGTTAAATAACTAAGACGATGTCACTCAACAGTTTTCTGTAATTTTTAAAAGAACTTGCACAGAGTAAGCAGTTGAGATGCTCTACTTCTAAATGTAACCATAAACACAAAATGCCCTTCTTGGTACTGTCTCTAATACAATTAGAAAACTCTTTAACTTGTTGACTCCAAGAGAACATATTCTCAGGTCATGTCTATCACGGGCAGCAACCACCCATAAAATACAGAACTACGCTGAGGAGAAGCAGATCACAACACAGAGCATTATAAACCTGACACATACTAGATGCCAAAGACCTAAATTTTGTTGATGAGTGTTTTCAATCTCCATAAGGACAATATAATTATAAATGCATCATAACTGAAAACAATGTGTAATATATATCCCAACATTTAAAAATTACTTTTTAACTTACAAAGCATAATTCCAAATAACATTCTACTTATTACAGCTCATACTACGTCCTGAGTCACAAAACAACTATACCTTTTTCCTTCAGCTCTTGGGGCTTTTCCCATGTTGATTCTAGTGTTCTATTATTGTAATAGTATGTCTTCCCATCTGCCGTTTTATATTCAGTCCACTCAGAAACTGCTGTTGCTCCAGCTAAAGTAGCAGGTGAAGCTGCAATAGCAACCTGGGGATGTATCATGGGTACTATAGGAGGGGCCATTCCTGGTAACACACCTAAAAAAAGAATAATAAAAAGTTAGATCCAAATATTAATTTATAGTATAAAATAAGCCACAAGCTAAACTCTTCTAATAAATATTAATAAATACTCAGAACAAGAATGGCATATAAAAGGTGTTTAAATATTATTGACTATTTGTTTGGTCTTTTGACAATAAAGCCTAAATTCAGTTGGATGTGGAAATTGGGCCCAAGAACGATCTTAAGAGCAGTCAAAAGTTTAGGCACCCTCTAAGACAATGCCTAAATAACATGATATACTAAGAACAGAATGTACTTTATGTTCTCAAATTCTAAAGAAATAAGAATTCACCGAGTGTAATTCCCAACATAAATTTCCTACTTCTAAAATGCTTAGAAGGATCAGAGTAAGAATTCTTAGTTTTAAAGTAAAATGACTGTTATCCACTCCAAATGATAAATCATGTAGACTATTAGATCATCCTTTTCCTTAAAAAGGCAGAGACATCTATCTATTTTTAAAGGCAAGCCACAATTTTTGTTTTTTTGGGAGGCTAAGTAAGCTGGTATTATTTAAAATATTGTTAAAAATAAGGAAATAAGAATCCAAATGGAAAACAAAATCCTAGAATCTAAGCTCTAGAGTCTTACTTTGGTAACTTTAAAATGCAAAGGTAATGCTATATACAAATATCACACGCACATAATCACTTGCATGCAAGCATAGTCACATCATTTTACACATGGAAATGACATTTTATATTTAACTTAAAAACACACATCAAAACAAAATTAAATGTTATGAATATGAGAATGAAGTTGTTTACACTTATTACATAAATTAAGATATATAAAGTGATCTGACCTCATTTGATTTTGTGAACCACAGAAGCTAATACTACAGGCAACTGGGAAATTAAGTGTTGGCCAAATATGACAACTGTATTTAAACTGCTCATTAAAAAGAAAAAAATTTTAAGCTCCACTCACTAGGGCAATAAAATAAATAAAAGGATAAACAACAACATTCACTACCATGCCAACTTACAGACAAAACAAACTAAGATGGTTTTAAAATTACCGGTCTTGGTGGTAGCGACTGTCTTTACATACGGGCAGCTGACTATTTGCATCATTGCTACACCTGTAAAATGGATAAGCAAGCATTGGTTGGAAAGCTGCCATTGTATGTCGGCTACCACTGGGATTCAGGGAAATAATTTACCACTACAATTTAGAATCTAATTCCAATGAGAAAGACCCAGAATGGAATAAAATAGTAGTCGACATTTTGTGGGAAGTGGTGCCAAATCCAATGACTCTATTTCTAAGCTGTAACATCAATTACCTACCAGCTTTCATATTTGAAGGAGCCTCAAAGTTTAAATTCAACAAATTTAACCCCTTTGTTATACATATATAATAAATTCTCATGTGGGACCTACTCCACCAGACACCAAACCCAGCTGCAGTTAGTTGCTCACAGGCCAGGAACAGGCAATGCACACAACACTGTGCTGACAAGGTATTTTTACTATGCTGATGCTCATTTGAAACTACAGGCTGGGGCTGAAGATTAGGGCACAGCTATACAAAAATGAAAGGAAAAGACAGGGCAGAGGGGAGGGAGGATAAGAAAATAAGGCATAAAATGGCTTCAAATATCCCACTGCAGAGAAGGTGAACACAAAAGCATAGATGGAGAGAGCTGCATTCAACTAGTGTCAAAATATCTGCTTAGTGTCACACATGGGATGGCGTAGAGGCAGGCCAACACTACACTTTGTCCCTTTAACGCTCTCAGTCATTGTCTGCTGGTAACTGCAGACACCTCTACCACACAGGCTGGCTAAAGTAGCACTTGTATGAAGGAACAGATACTACATACAGTTTTGAGAAGAATGAAGCCTCATCATGATGCATTAGAATGATGGCAAAAAAAAAAAAATGAAAAAAGCTGGAAAACTGAGGAAATTCAAAATTGAATGTCAACTTTAAAATGTTTTAAAAGTAAAAGTCTGAAAAACATAGGGGGAAATAATTTTTTACTTTTTTGTACCTGGAAAAAACTCAACTTAGTTTTTGGTACTGCAAATCTAAAAAATTTTAAATACTGTATTAAAAATAAACTGAAGGATGGGAAAAGTCCTAATCCAGAAAGTAAAATTAAAACTCTTGTGTTTTCAAGTAATTTAAACTATACACACGCACGCACACACCAAATTTTGAAGTGTCCTTAATTTCTTTTACCATTTCACATAAAGAATAGTAACACTGAACTTTCTGCTAACTTTAAACCAAAATAAAATCTTGAATTATCAGAGCATGCTGAGTGAAGAAAACTGTATGTATACCTTTATTTCCCTAATGTTGAAACAAAACAA